TCCTATAATATTAATTTTTTGAAATAATTCTTACAGAATCGTAATAATGAATAAGCTTAATCAGACGCAACTTTTGGTACCAAAATTATAATATTTAAAGCACCAAATTTTTTGAAAATTTGTTCAAAATTTTACACAAGTGGGGACCCTTGTTTTCAAATTAAAAACTTTTGAAAAAAAAAATCCTTTAAATCTTAAAACATTAGTACTAAAAGTTTCGTCTCGATGAGCTGATTACGATACCATAATATAAACTATGTGATAATGATTTAAAATATGAAAGTTATAGGCCAATTAAAACTAAAAATTTGCGCGAAAAAATCACGCGCGGCGAACATGGAACAAGCGCCGTGTAGCATTTTTCCCGAAAATTGCTACACGGTGAATTGATTTTATTCACATTTTTAGACAACTTTTGGTACCAAATTTGTCGAAATCGGAGAAAAAAGTTCTGTGCTCGTGCTTGGCGCTTATTACACTGACTAATATGCGGAGCTTGGCTTACATAATGCAGCGATTTCATTGGACGAGAGCAACTTTTGGCGACGTTCGGCTACACATGGCAGCGTTTGATCGAAAACCTGGTTTCAGCTCCCCCTGTGTGGTACACTGGTACAGTTTACTTTTACAATCCCACAGGTTACTCAATTACTCATAAACAAAAACGTACGCGCGTATAAGCATGTACATAGAACGATCAACATCTAATTGCGCCCTAAAGAATAGTAACGTACGCGTACGCGCGCTAAGTAACTTGATCCACGAACAATGAAATATAAAAACTCATAAACTTGCATTGGAAGACTTCGCCGCTTTGACGCGCCGCGCAAACTATCATTCTTACTTCGCCGCGCATCGAAGTAAGAGATCTCAGCCTGACGAGATTGTTTCTCTTTAAATTCGCATAGCAACGATACAATCTGGAAGGCCGGTTGACATCGTCAATCAACTCATAAACTTAACGGGTGATACTCGTAAAATATTTGTTCCAAATATTGGACCGTCGACGAGTCCAACTCGGCGCGCGTCGCTGCTAGGTTAAAAAGCTACAACTCATTAACGTGCTTTTTTAAAATTACTTTTATAGTTTATATCTCCAATCAAAATCTTTTCACCATTACCTAATATAATAATTATATTTATATTATGAAAGACCAAATCAAATCAAGTGATCACATTTGAACAAGAATTGCGCCGGTTAGCGGACGCTAGATTTCCATCGCCCGTAATTAATTACAATTAACGATCGTTTCATATTGGTTAAATTACCAAATTTCTTTGGGGCGTTACAGAGAACAAGGACATCTGTCCGACAGCGACTCTTGTCCGACTCAATATGTTACCAGAAAAAAAAAGACATCTGTCCGAAATTGTGATCTAATTGCAATACGACACATTTCCATTTTCCAATTAGAGACATGATCTGAACTGAGATATGACCTGAGCTGAGCTGAACTCTACCATAGTTTATTTTCATTTGATGTCAAAAATTGGACAATAGTTTAAATGTTATATAAATAACTAATCTCCATACCGCTCTCCTGTGTGTAATGTAGGCTGTGATGTGATTGGCAGCTTGTTACAGCTTGTTAGTGTACGGCTAGCATGATCCTGTCCTCAAATAGTCAATCACGTATCGATGGATCAGATCTCAATGGATCAAACCAGCATTATATTAGGACTGTGGGAGCAACGTCACAAGATTACACGTGAGCTTGTGAAATACGAACGTGATCCGAAATTGCAAATGTGATCCGAAAGTTGGACAGATGTCGCCAAAAACGACTCCTATCTGACAGCGACTCTTGTCCGAAACAGGTAATTCGACTGTCGGACAGATGTCACCCAATCAAATTTGTGGTACTTAATACAATGTGAATCATAATAAAATGTATCGTTCATTTCGTCTAAATATAATGAATCAATCTATTGGCAATCATGTTCAACATGATAGTCATAACATCATAATTTATACAACAACATAACAAATTACTAATATCAGGTTGCACCAAGCACCCACAACAAAATGAGAAGTTTGTATCGCATGAAGTTAACGAAAGCTTAAACGACAAATATCAATGCGAATCAAAATGTATAATAGCGAAAAGAGATATACATGCGCGTCGTACACGATTTATTAGCTCGATTCTTGGTATAGAGTACACCTTGACATAAAAGCATTGTAAAATGCGCGCGCGACCATCAAGTAATAATTTGTAAAGGAGCACGTGTTTGCGGAGGTTAATGCATGTTTTGCTTTGTGACACCACGAAAAACCTATACCCACTATACCCATTCTCAAATCCTACCACTTCTAACCATCTATTGCCTTTTTAGGCGATGGAAAAAATAATAAATAAACAGTAATATGATATGCAATGTAACAATACCATGTCATTTTAGTTTTAACATGGAACAATGAAAATGTGGAATTGTATCGCTAAACAGAATTATCTTGAATATTTCGGTGGATACTTCGTTTATTATTTTTTAGCTGCAATCTTGGTAATTCGACTATTGGTGTTGTAGCATCAATTTGCATTTCTGAAGAACCTTGCTTTGGAGGGAGTCTTTGAAGGGGCTGTGGTCTTTGATGGGGTCGAAATCTTCGTTGATTAGAGGATCTCTTTGAGGGGAGAAGTTCAGAAATCTTTTTTCTCAGAAAATGTCTGAAACTTCGCACACTGAGCGAGTATACAAAAAAATTCGCCATAGTGTTAATGTTGGAGAAGTGATATACAACGTTAAGTGTAGTGCTGCTTGGTTGAACTCCTGCAACTGCTGCTACTGCCACCACAGTTGTAGGCAGATATGATAGCAAAAAGACTACGATAGTAAGTAGGACTGTGATCACACCCTCCCATCTCAGTGATTCTCCGTGTCTGGAGCCAGCTCTACTAGCCACAATCAGGAGGAGAACAGAGCTTACGATGAGTATCATGTAGGGTACGATACTTAAAACAGCAACACTGATGGGGAAGTAAAGTGTATACCATATTGGCACAGTGGGTGAGTAAAGATCATAGTTACAACCATAGTCTATGTAGCTGAACCTTAGTGTGTCTCTTATGTAAAATACATTTACCACTAGTACTGGAGTGTACCAACCAAGCAACAAGAGCCATACAACAGAGCAGATTCTATGTCCCAATCGCGTGGACCATGCCCCAGTTTTCAGGGGATATTTTACCATGATCAGTTTCAAGATAGCCATAGCAGATGTCAGGAACACAGTCATTGGACCACACATCCAGCTTATATTATACTGAACATGGCAGAGAATTTCCCCAAACACCCAACCATCCATTATCAGTGCCACAAATCCTGGAAATACTTTAAATACAGCTAGCATTAAGTCACAAACAGCCATGTGCTGCATCACTGCTATTATCACTTTATGGAGTTTTATTGCTTTATATCTAATTGTTGCTATTAAAATGATGCAGTCTCCTACAAGCGATGCAAGAAAAACTGTTAAACTCCACAATACAAAAATTGTTCTCTCCGTGTCATCTTTGATAGCTAATAGCGTCTTGTTGTCTGTTTTCATGTTGATATAATCTGCCTGGTCATAAGATTGATTACATTTCATACTCTTAATTTCAGCTAAGTTAATTTAAGAAGACAACTCTGCTTGCTGAGAGAGAGAGAGAGAGGATTTACTAACAAGCAAGCATTTAGGAAATTGTATTAAAAAAATTTCACAACTATATAGCAACGAATAAATTTGGTACCGGTTTTTAAGATGCTGGCAGACAATACCACCTCCTAAGTTGGGACTTGTAACTACAGCAGGGACATAGATGTGAATCACGTGATTAGGTGAACCAGCTACTCAATTTAAACTTATCTAACACTCCTTTCCTCAATTTGAATAACTGTGCGAAAAGCTGTATCATATTACAAGCAGGCCTTTTGTGAAGGAAGTAGTAGTAGTAAAGTTAAGCAGGACCTACTAAAGCATGTATAATAATTCAGTACCAGAGAAACCGTACTCTAAGTAGTGGTGAGGTGTGGTTTTGGTGATTGTGCATTGGTAGAAGGTCCTTTTATTTAAGCAATAATTGAGATAGTCATCATTTGGGTTTTCAGGAGAATATTTGGGTACTTTTCAGGGTCATAGAATGAGAAATCCTGAAAATTATTTCAAAGGATAAACCAATTCATGGCATGTTGCTATCTTAGATTTAAAGTAAGTAAATTGCTAAAAATGTGTCACAATGCTTGTATCTGATAGTTCATATTTAAGTAATATTGTTTTCTTTAATTAAGTAACACAAGAAAAACTGGTCATAAGAAGAAGGTTACATTTACATTATATTATGTTGCCTGATTAAAATAAATTAAGAGTTTATCATAGACCATTCTGATTGCTGAGATTAAACTCATGGATACCCAAGACAGTATTAAAAAGACGCAAAACTGTTATCAATTGACAAGTATGTAGCCAATTACCAAGATGCTAGCAGAAAAAGAGTGGTGAATCACGTGATCCTGCATCAGCTACTCAAATTAATAAACCGCTCCTTTCTTCTTTATAGTATTAGTATTACTATCTGTGTATCACCAGATGAGCAGCTGTATCATTATAGGGCAGTGAACACCTGCAAAAAGTTCCACTTTGGGTCCCCGAATGTTGTATATTAAAAGAGATAATCACACAGCTGGTTCTTGCAGGTAACAACTATTTTTTGGCTCAAAACTTTTATCATATAATACGGCTGTTATATGGTTTTAGCAATAAATATTCAATATTCTGTTCAAATTTTCTATTACATTCTCTGCTGAACAGTGTACGAACTCCGACCCGAAGGCATGGGAAAAGGGATGCCTCATAGTTCAGTACATTGTAGTAAGGGAAGCTCCGTATCGTGGATGTATCAATATCAACATCATCAACAGTCTCAAATTATTAATCCTACAGTTATATAGAAAGTATACTTTAATTAATATCACCTTCTAACACCCAAGTTTTAAGATGTCAATACTTTTATAGATCAAGATGACTCAACAGGCAGCAGTATTACAAAACTGCAACAACGAGCTAGTCAAATGTATTGAGGATCTGTGTAACAAGAGAGATGCTCTGCAAAGGGACATCACGTCTGAGGAGGAAGAGAAAAGTAAACTCCAGAACGATATCAGAATACTGAGTGAGAGGTGTGTAGTATTAACTTAGACTTATATTGTAGTTAATTATGGTAGATTGTACAGTAGATCTGCTAAGTAATTTGAAGTCGGTGGTTAAGATCTATCTTACTATATATAAAGCAATACGATATTATATGTATGTATATATAATATCTGTTGCCATTTTACTGACACCACGACATCAACTTTAACACGAAATTCCGTGAAAACCGTGAGAGATATTATGCTTTTTTGGTCGGGTAGAATGCTTTTATGGCCTTTTGGACAGTATGAAATATAAAAATTGGCCAAGAAATAGGTACTTTACGTCCCCAAATTTGGACACCCAGGTGGTGTCAATATCGTAAAATAAATAGTATAATTGTCTTTTATTGTCTCTAGCAGGAACCCGTCTAACCTAGTGGTGTCAAGATATAACAATAATAATATTTATTTTGTAAGACGTTCAAATTTCAGAAAGTGAAGTTCTTATTCCTTGGTCAATTTTTCTATTTCTTCATACTGGTCGAAAGTCCCAAAAAGATGAAGTGAATTGCCCGAAACGATTATATTTACCCGGCTGCAGTAAAATAATATGGTATTTTAAACCGAACAAAACCCAGCGATCACCTAATCTGAAATGAAACTTGAACTACATTATTTTATATTTCCTGTCAGTTTTGGAAACTTAAAACATTTCTGTTCACTCTATTTATAAGGATTTGCAGAGAGATTGGTGAGACGGATTGGCCGTTTAACATTATTTGACAATTAATATAAACCCCGTACCGTTATATCTTCTAGTTTCTCGCACTCGTTATACTGCCAAACTACTCTAATCAGTTCCTGCTACGGTTTTGAAATCGGACCCGGTCTGTCCAAGACATAACCCTCATTCATTACCGGGATTCAATGTGAAACCAGAGGAATCTTGGTCATCACCAGAAGTCTTAAGTTAAATGTTGACAAACCCATACCCATAAGTTTAGGTCGTCACAACATTCCTTACCCTACATTCTTACCCCGGCTTTATCTAGGCTGAGCGTTGTAAAGTGTATATTTTGCAATCTGTTTATTATTCTTCGCGACGTTATTTCTCTAAATTTTACTTAAGCTAATATAACACCAATTATTCGGTAAAGTAATGATATTCATCTTTATTTGAATAACAATTCTTAAACCTCTTCGGTCTCGTACTATGTAGTAGTAGTAGTAGTAGTAGTAGTAGTAGTAGTATTAGTAGTAGTAGTAGTAATAGTAGTAAGTTGTGTAGTGTATTGCATGTATATTTTGATTTGTCGCTTCCTTCCGGTTTGACATCCTTCTGAAATAGCTTTATTATTTTTAGACGGAGTTTTACCGCTCAGTACACCAGTTGAATTACCAGTGCACATGCAATACTTACATCTACACATTTAACCCGGATGTATTCCCTTCAGTCCAACGACTGGTCCAAAGTCTGGTTGCATATTTAGAACCAAATCTACTTTTTAATGACCAAGTTAATATGATGTCTAATGATAAACGTCTCGGTTCATCCTCCAGGTTAGCAAAAGTAAACGAATCGCTAGCCAAGAAGATAACAGCTCGTAACGAGTACGACAAAACGATATCAGAGACGGAGAACGCGTACATGAAGATATTGGAGAGCAGTCAGAGCTTGTTGCAAGTACTCAAGAGAGAATCTACATCCCTCAAAGCTTCCCCCAAACCTGAGCTGTAGATAAACTTCTTCTTGAAAACTAACCCAAAATAGTTTGAAAATTAAAGAAGCAATAATGATCGTATTTTTGAATGGCTTCATGATATTCAATCTTGCAGAAGTTATGGTCTAAAAGAATTGCTCACTTGTATGGATCATAGAGCCTTACTACAACAATTTTGAAAACTTTCTTTTCCCCTACATTCAGTTTTTTCCTATGTGAAATATCGGAATTTGAATTTTATGTGAACTTTATTGATTTAAAGTCATAATATTCGTAGACTCATACACCAAATACTGATAACAGAAAAATTTTAAATGTAATATCTCTTTTATTTATTAAATGTTGTGTAATCTGTACAAACCATTATATATAATAGACATTTTATTACACTATTAAAAACCGTCTTATTCTTTATGCAATGATGCTATGCATATTATATTTTTTTTTTATTGAAATCTTTCAAATCAGTCAATTACATACAAGTTTACACAATGAATTAGTTAAATATAATATTGTCCTCTAAGCATGGATTGTCAAAGTTGAAATTGTCTCGGACAAAATGTATGTAACCAAAGGACCTGAGGGTCACCAAAACACAGATATTGAGTGCAAATGCAGCTCCTGCACAAGCATGGTCCCTTATAAAATTGTAATAAGTTACTTTAAACAAAATCACACACCCATTCAATCAATTCATAAAATATTGTGCTGTGAGATGAAATTGAGAAATATGTGAATGCAGACAGCAAGAATAGATAATCTTGAATAAACTATTTTACGGATTTGTTTCTATTGAATAGTCAAGTTCACAGTCCGAATCCACCGGGATAATTTTCCCCCACATGTAAGTGGAAAGTTTACTTTTAAAATCAGTGATACTCTCTATCTCACGGATATCTAGAGGAATGTGATTCCACTTAGTGTGGGTCCTATAGAAGAAATTCTTGGCTCAAAGAGCACCCTACAATTTATGATTGAGGATCTGGAATTATTGCCATTTGCATTTGTGATTCTTCCTGAATATGAATGACAGGAATGGCAAAAAACATCGTGTCACGATGTGTACTTCATTGTCATTTCTGCTAAAGCTGGAACCCTAAAATTCTGAAGATCTCCTCGCATTTATTTCATGAAAACTTCCAAATCTTACTGACTCCCTCAAATATTTTAGCAGACAGTTATGGATCGCTCGTCTGTGTTTCACGTAATAGCAGCAGTTTATCATTTCTATGCCCTTATTTACCCCTACTACCACGGACTCAACATGAACCACGCTAAGGGATTTGGAGGCAGACTAAAGTTTCTTACTATATGGGGCCACCTTCTGCAGGTGTGTGTTTTTTATCTTTGGTTAACTCGATTAGAAAAAAAGATAAAATTTGCAGAATGCAGCTCAAAGAGCACCCTACAATTTACTGAATCGATTACAATTTCTGTTGACGTCATGCCACAAAACCTGACAATAACCTTACTGGGGCACGAGACTCTGGGGGGGGGGGGGGGGGGGGGGGGGGGGATTTGGGGTAAGACTTATCTTACAGAATACAGAATATACTTTAATTTTTTCCGTTCACCCTTTTTATTTATAAAAAGGCAATAGTGAAAGGTTACGAATGGACGTTTTTGCAGAAAAACGTGGATTTTGGAGAACGTTGTAGGTGGGTTAAAATATGTCGTCGGTACGTACTTCCGTTAGTAACCATGTCAACTAGCGCGCAGTGCAGCGCGCTAGTATTGCTTGCGGAGATATGATGTATATAGCTAGCCTGTCAATGAATGCGCGGCGCGACTGTATTTTAATGTATAATATGTAGTATATACTATATAGTATTAGGTAATAAGCCCAATTTATGTAGGTGGCATGCGTAGTATAGTGTACTGATGTGTATCAATATATTATTATGAAGTGAGCTGATTGGATTATATTTATAGTTATAGTGAATGGAAATCTAGCGTCCGCCAAAACGAAACAACGGGCGCAATTCTTGTTAAGCCTAAAGTTAAAAAAAGTAAAGTCTCGTTATCTAAATCATTTATTTTGCCCTTTATTTAGTATCAACAGTCAACACTACAATTTCAGGTTGGGTACTACATATTTGCTGCCCTGGTTGACGTATATAATCAGTGCCGTGGTTCTCCTTGTTCTAAACTGAAACAGTGAGTCTTAAATTTTACTCTAATGAAATAATGTATCCCGTATCAATTACATTGTTAAGAAGGGCTTGGTTATTGCCGGTTTACAATACCTTTGACATCTATAACGTTACTTACTTTAGGTTACTTTCGTTTCTTATTTATTCGAAATACACATGATGCAAGTATTTTTTGTATATATTTTTGAATAGAATGCTTAAATCAACCCCCTTAAGCAGTAGTACATACATATTACATTACACTGGATCGAGCTTACACAGTGTAATTTCTTCCAGTCTGCGCCGCGCGCCTATATAAACGTATGCGGCGCAGGAGGAAATTACACTGTGTAAGCTCCAGTGTAATTAATATGTATGTACTACGGCTTTAGGCCTTAGTATAATATGTAATTATCGTTTCAGGGCCAGAGATTGGTGGTTTTCAACTCTCGTGTTCCCGATAACATTCCTTGTATTCATACTTTTCTGGGGATTGTTTGCTTATGACAGAGAACTAGTAATGCCTAAAAGACTGGACGCTGAGATAGATCCACTATTCAACCACATGGTAAGAAATTGTAACGGTCTTTTACCTAAGGGTCTACTTCTTTAGGGTAATGGAACACGCGAAAAAATATTCGTATTAATAAGCGCGCATCGCCCTCGTTACGGTCGCGCGCGGGCGCGGGGCGGGGCGATCGATCATATCGATCGATTGACGGACGGACGGACGGACTCGACTGACCGGATCAATCGACTGCAGACTTGCCCCTCCTGGAGTGTTATAAATAACCGGCGATTCCTCATTCCTGTTCTGTTACTCCAATAGGTTCAGACTTCTTGCCATACACATCTCATTCTTTATGAAGCAATTACCAGCTTTTATAGAATTTAGAACCATTTTCAACTTTGCCTGTTAACACTATGAATTATTAGTTATTTATAACTGCTGCCTAGTCGCTGACTTCCAATATCCGTTCAGGTACACACCTTCATTATTTTCTGGGCACTAACGGAACCTCTGGTAACCGAAATCACCATCCCCAAGAAACGCCAAGGACTTCTCGCCATAGCCTTCTTCGGAGTTTCCTATACAGTCTGGTCTTACATAATTTTCCTGAACATAGGAAAATGGGTCTATCCTATACTCAATATACTGTCTGATGTACAGCGGGTCTTGTTTATTCTTGTCGCTTATGTCCTGATAGTCTGTTTGTTCTTTTCTACAGGGCATATCAGAAAAAATTTGGAAGAGCTCATGTGGTCGCGGCTAAGAAAACTCATTAAATTTGCATTTGTTTAGTGGCATGGGGGAGGATCGTCGTTGTAATTTTTATTAGGTCTAATATTCACCAATGAAATTTAATGAAGGGGACCTTTTAAATTGTTAGCTATTAATTAGACAAATTAAGTTTCTAAAATCATTTTGTTGTATTTAATTCAGCTTTCCGTCAGAGATTATTTTTCGAACTAAAGTTATTGACAACTTCTAAAGTTTTTGTTTAGATTGTGATTTTTGTCTTATTTTTATTGTTTTTGATTTCCTATTAAATATATTTCTTGTTTTCTCGGTATGCGTTACATTTTGACTTAGTTACATCTAGATTTAATAACATCTGTATTCTGTATTGTTTTTTATCATTGACACTGAATATTAGTCTTTAATGAAAATTCATAAAAAAAGTGTTTTCTGGTCGTATGAAAGGTAAAACTTGATTCAGTCACCAGGCGTTTTATGTTGGTCGTTAAAATGATCATATTATTAAATCGATTTAGCCTGATAAAACACTGTATAATGGGTATCCTTTAAGTACAGGAGTACCACAGGCAAATATTTGTTTGTGAAACTGGCGCATTTTAAAAGTTTTAAAGAAAACAATCTTGAATACCAAGTGAAAAGCTGTTATTTATGATTGAAAACTTGCTAATGTACAAACTCCAATATCGATACCATTAAAAGTAAATTAGGAAACAAATCTATGAAGTGTTTAAGTTAAACTTAAAAGTCTTCGTGTCAGTACTCATGTTCTAGATTAAAATAGATTTAATTAAACCTGCAGAATAGAAATTGATCTGAGAATCTGCGGAGTGTTGAGCGATATCTGTCAAAATGTTTCTTTTCTTCTAAAACTGAAAATGGGGCAATAAGATTGTTCAATTGCAAATTGGCGCAGGTTATATCTCCACCGGAAGCACATTCCCAAATTGACGCATTAATTTAACTTCATGAATCGAGATAAAATCTATTGCAATGTATTCAGAATTAATTTAAACAGGATTAAACATAAATTAAACAGAATTAAAATACTTTTAAGAGATAAAAACAGGCTCAAAAGCGCTACTGACGTATTTCTCCGTGAAAAACACAATAACGTGAGTAGCTTTTGTCAAGGTGCCTCGAAAGTGATCTCAAAAGCTATACCCCGTTCAATTTTGGTCGTAAAACGCCAACTTAGTGCAGAATCAAGCAATTGTTATACCTTACTCGGGAATATTATAGCGGGTTAATTTATGACTGGGAAAATTAATGACCGGGAAAAATATGGCGGAATTTTCCAAAACCCACCAAGCATCAAAATGTATTAATATTAGTTTACCTTACTCGGGGACATTATAGCGGGTTAATTTATGACTGGGAAAATTAATGACCGGCAAAAATATGGCGGAATTTTCCAAAACCCACCACTTTATCCCAGTCATAATATTCCCGAGTAAGGTAGATATATTTCATACGTATCAAATTGGATGTGCTTTCGGTGGAGATATCTGATATAACCTGCGCCGCCTTTTCAATTTTCTTCAGGATTTTGACTTCAAGTACCTCAATTTGGTTTCATACCATCATCAATTAACTGACTAATTGACTTTTGGGCAAAGAATTCATCCAATCTGTCAAATTTGTGTTCAGAAATTTTCATATTTGAAAATGGGACAGGATTTGGAAAATACAAATTTTCGTTTTGTTAAACTTTCTGCTGTGAGCTTCCTCCGACCTCAATCAAACTTCCAGCACCTCAATCGTATCATATGCCATCTATAGTTGACTGACTAATTGGTTGCAGGTGAGAAATTCAGTCAAAACTGTAAAATTTCGGTCCTGGAAATTTCAGCTTCAAAAACTGAAAATGGGACAGAATTTGGGACAATATGATTTTGGAATTTTCTTCTAGAATTTGACTTCCGGTACCTCAATTTGGTTTCATACCATCATCAATTAACTGACTAATTGGTTTTTGGGCAAAAAATTCATTCGATCTGTCAAATTTCAAATTTGTGTTCAGAAAATTTCATATTTGAAAATGGGACAGGATTTGGAAAATACATATTTTCGTTTTGTTAAACTTTCTGCTGTGAGCTTCCTCCAACCGAAATCAAACTTCCAGCACCTCAATCGTGTCATATGCCATCTATAGTTGACTGACTAATTGGTTGCAGGTGAGAAATTCAGTCAAAACTGTAAAATTTCGGTCCTGGAAATTTCAGCTTCAAAAACTGAAAATGGGACAGAATTTGGGACAATATGATTTTGGAAGTTTCTTCGAGATTTTGACTTCCGGTACCTCAATTTGGTTTTATACCATCATCAGTTAACTGACTAATTGATTTGTGGGCAAAGAATTCATCCAATCTGTCAAATTTGTGTTCAGAAATTTTCATATTTGAAAATGGGACAGGATTTGGAAAATACAAATTTTCGTTTTGTTAAACTTTCTGCTGTGAGCTTCCTCCGATCGAAATCAAACTTCCAGCACCTCAAATCGTGTCATATGCCATCTATAGTTGACTGATTAATTGGTTACAGGTGAGAAATTTAGTCAAAACTGTAATTTATTTTGATTGTGATGTTAAGCTCATCAACTCACCTTTCTGGGACCCCGTCCTTTTTTGGGTCGGGTTCCAACACGTGTAAAACTGTAAACGGAAACTGTAGGGACTGGAGTTTTTACTAACACTGTTACACTGTTACCTTTTACCTAAGATATGAAACCCCCCAAAACTGCGATGGGAAAATATTAAGTATTATAATTGTTTTTAATCGTTTATTTAGGGGAACCTGCCCCTAAACCATGAAATTTTGGTCTTTTTCCACCTTTACTATTGGTCCGTCCGCCCTAATAGGAAAAACCCGGGACCTTTTTACATGTTAATGACATGTAATTATTTTTAAACCATTTAAATTTTTTTTAATTTTAAACCATTACGCATAAAACATTTTGCCTCTAATTTTTTCACAAGGGGCCCCTAAACTTGCTGAAAAGGGAAAAACTGTTTGATTTTATCATGCCCGGCCATCTTAAAAAGGGCGACCTTGCTGCTAAAAAGACCCCCTGTGCAAAGAAGAACCCCTGCTAGGAAAAAAACAGTTCCAAAAAAACTGCTGCCTCCGGGTCCCCCTCCGCCCGGGGGGCCCCTCCCCTGGGTTTTTGTTGGGCTTTGGGTGCCATAAATTTTACACGTTTTGCGCAAAGACGTTTTTTTAAACGTTTTACCACCCTCCCCAAAAGAAAAAATAGATTTTAAATACAACAGGCCCCTTTTTAAATTAAACTCCGCTTTACTGGAAAAGCCACTAAGCCTGACACCAAAAAAAGCCCCATCAAACAATACCCTAACCGTAAAATTATTTCGTTGATATAGACCCAACCCTTGAATTTCTAATTTGGGGCCCAGCTAAACCCCCCTTTCTTTGTACGGGTTAAGGGGGATTTGCGAGAAGGCGGGGGGAAAAATCAAACAGAACGTGCTCGACGGCAAATCGAAAAAGTCTCTGATGCCCCCGAAAAAACCGACCCCCCTCATCACACAGCAGACTGAACTTATCTCTGAAGCCCCCTGGCGAACCTCGCATTCCAGAGAAGTTAAAATTTAGGCCTCATTCCCCGGTTAAGATTTTTGGTGCGTTCTTTCCGGGTTAATTTTTGATAAGTTTCAAGTGAGTTTAAATTTTGGACAGCCCCCACCCTGGAGGCCGTTTTTAAAACCAACTTATTATGGCTCCTTTCCCCTACACGTACGGCAAAAACCTCACACCCTGTCTCTTTTGGGCCCACTTCCCCACTTGGAACATGCGTACGAGCAATTGCAAAAACTGGACGTTTAACAAAAAACCCCAGAAAACCCTACACTTGCCTTTGCCCCCTTTTTATAAAAGGGAGGGGATCGGTGGGCATCCCGTGCATAAGGGACAGCAAACCCCTAGCATAATGGAGGATAGTAAAAATTTTATACGGGTTTTCGTTTTGGAGAACCTAAAAAACCTTAGGTTATCAAGTACTTGGGGGCCCTTTGTCGAGAAATTACTTGGCCGGTTCCTTTACGTCATGTCACGAGCAGATCGGGGACAACGGGCCCCGCCACGGCATTAAACCGCGATACCCCTCGGTAAGGTTTCCCACGCATTTCATTTGACTTTCCCAAAAACCCTGAAAAAAACCCGGGAGTATGCCTGTGCCTGCACCTCCAGCTCTCCATCGGAAAACCACCTGTTCCCCCTCCGGGTCAAAAACTCCCCCTCTCAGTTCGCCACTCCGGGCCAATTAAATCCCATAAATTATTCATGTAAAACCACCTGAAGGGTTGTTCGTTCAGACCCCCGGGGCCACCGCGGTCAGAAGGTTTGAACTACCAGCTCATAGACTCTTTGGGAAATCTTGCCCCAAAAAAATGCCAAAACTGTGATAAATTCATTTTGGCTTTAAACGATCTTCACGGTATGGAAAATTTTTCCCAAGGGGCGGGGAAAAACTTTTGTCCCCGCCTTCGAAAAAAAAAAAAAAAAAAAGGGGGGCTTAAGAGCAACAAAAGAAACACAGTTTGTTTTTTTGGGGCTTTTTCTTTAACGAAAATTGGTTGGTTTTAAAACGGGAAAAATTTGTTGTTTTTAATCTATGTGGGGGAAATTTCTCCCCCCAGGGGGAAAACCCAAATCTGCCTTTTTCGTTTCCCCATGCCTTTATCAACGGGTTCATTCATATTTCGTTGGGACCGAAATGAAAAAGCAGGGGAAATCCATTTACATCACGATGTCAGAAGGGCTGTTGCAAAAGAATTTGGTCAACTGGTTGGCAAGTTATGTGGATCAGAACTGCCACGCCCCCAGGAACTGTGCGGGGCTCACCCCTGGGGCCTAACAGCCCTTTTCAGTTATCATCGTGGTTGAGCCCTAATCCAAAAAATAAATTTAAATTTATAAAAATAACCCTTTTTCCCTGTCAACCCTTAAAAAAAGCATATCATCAAGTATTTTATATTTTTTTTCAGTACATCCTCACCCTCACCCCAAATTTCATTTGATTGCTACCACGATCGTTTTTTAAAAAGAAATGATCTGATTGGTCGAAAAGGGTTATCTTCTTAAGTTTTTAAGGGGAATGTGAACATTCTTTAAATATCAAGCATTTTTCTTTTATCATCCCCCTTTTTTTCCCTAACACTTTTTTCAATTCCAAACAAAACGGTGCACATTTTTTTTTAAAAATTATAAAAGGGCTTTTGGTAAATCAGCATCAAGAACGTTTCCTCAGTCAAAGTTCAGTGAAAACATTTAATTTCGAAAACTTCACAAAAAAAATAAATTTAGAAAAAAAATCACCAAAAAAAAAATTTCCCCAAACCAAAACAATTTCAACATCCCAAATAAAAACGACTTAATTACCCTTTAGGTAAACCCATTTTT